TTTCTGATTACGAATTTGAAATAATTTTTAAAAAATTTTAAATAGAAAATCTAATATGGTGGATACATTTCTGAAAAATCAAATTTTTTTGCATGATTTTTTTTAACTTCTTGTTGTTATATAACGATTTGAATGTAATTCAAGAATTGTTAAAAAAAATTTTACTAGACTTTTATAGATAATAGAACTTAAAATTTTGGAAATTAAAGAATTAGCATTAAAGAATTTTAAAGATAACAAGAAATAATCAATTTTAAATTTTATTTTATTTTCATAAGCTTAATTTAATTTTAAATTATTCATTTAATTTATTATTTAAATTTTATTCTGTTTTTATAATTGTAAACTTCTTTTTTTCTAAGTTTCCATGGTAATATTATTTTTAATGTGTAAAAATGTTTTGATTGCCGAATGTAGATATTATGTATTATATTTAAATAATATTAATTATGGATAAAGAAAGGGAAGTAAAACTTTCAATTAAACGTTGTTCATTTTTTCTTCATACTTTTTGTACTTTTAATATAAAATAAAACTAGAAAATTTGTAGAATATTAAAATAATTATATCTCGTTATTATTTATTTATTTACTTCTACTGCTTTTTAATTATAATTAATCCCAAAATATTTTTGAAACAGGGTCAGAATTTCTCAAACGGATCACCTAAAACTAAAAAATTTTCTTTTTAAACCAAAATAGTTTTTTTTGACTCTTAATATGGTTAAGAAAAATCCCTAAAAATATTAAGCCAAAAAAAAAATTTTGTAAAAGTTATTAACAATTGAATTTTTTAGTACTGCTAAATTAACAAATTTTTTTCTCGAGTTGTAGTTAACGGATTTTAAAATTCAAATATGGGTTTTATTCGTCTTAAATTGCACTATTTAAATATATTTTTTGTTTTTAAATTTTTTTATTTTTTATAATTTTTTATTTAATTTGTTTATAAAATGTTAATAAAGAAATATATTCTTCACGTCCTAACAAAAAAATTAAAATTGTATTCTATTCCTTAAATGTCTCCGAGTATAAAACCGTTTCGAAAAAAATGAGCCTCAATTAGAAAAAAAGTTATTGATTAAAAACTGCAGCTATGTAGGGCTTTATATGACGTTAAACTCGCCCCGCGCGCATTGGCATTTTTTTCAAAATTGTCTGTAACCTACAAATTTTGTCGGATTTTCATAGGGTTGGTCTTAAATTAAAGGGGATAAAATTTCTAAGAGATCCCACTAAACCAATTTTTGAATTTTAAATTGTTTATATTTTTTTTGTTACTCAAAGTTAACAATTTACAATATTTTTAGAAAAAATCATGTTTACTTTTTTATTTTTTCATTGCAGATAATTGGAATCAGTTTTAATTAGTCCAGCATGACCACCAGAGAAATAATAATGTATAATACAATTTATTTAAATTGTTGCAAACAATGTTAATTAACAAATAGATAACTTTGGTTCTTTTTTATAAACAAAATTTTTTTTTAGATATATTTATATTTATTTAAGTAATCTATGTCGATTTTGATAAAAAATTATTTTAAATTTAATAATTACTATTGTTATTAACAATCATAAGGACAATAATCTAGATATCAATAATCAAGTAGAGCTTTACATGATTTTAAACTCGTTAAAATACGAAAAATAATTTTTCTTTTTGCAAAAAAAGACATTTATTTGTTTAAAAAGTAAATAATTTGTTTACAGCAAATGTAATTGTTTATGCTAAGAAATTTTTAAAGTTTTTGAAAGAATATATATATATATATTATATAGACATTTTATGTTTAAAAAATGCCTAAATGTTTACAAATTTCAAAGAAACTAGATTATTGTTCATATGATTGTTAATAACAACAGTAATAATTAAATTCAAAATAAATTTTTACCAAAATCGACACAGATTACTTAAATAAATATAAGTATATCTGAAAAAAATATATTTTAACGAGTTTAAAATCATGTAAAGCTCTACTTGATTATTGATAACTAGATTATTGTCCTTATGATTGTTAATAACAATAGTAATTATTAAATTTAAAATAATTTTTTATCAAAATCGACATAGATTACTTAAATAAATATAAATATATCTAAAAAAAAATTTTGTTTATAAAAAAGAACCAAAGTTATCTATTTGTTAATTAACATTGTTTGCAACAATTTAAATAAATTGTATTATACATTATTATTTCTCTGGTGGTCATGCTGGACTAATTAAAACTGATTCCAATCATCTGCAATGAAAAAATAAAAAAGTAAACTTGATTTTTTCTAAAAATATTGTAAATTGTTAACTTTGAGTAACAAAAAAATATAAACAATTTAAAATTCAAAAACTGGTTTAGTGGGATCTCTTAGAAATTTTATTCCCTTTAATTTAAGACCAAGCCCATGAAAATCCGACAAAATTTGTAGGTTACAGACAATTTTGAAAAAAATGCCAATGCGCGCGGGGCGAGTTTAACGTCATATAAAGCCCTACATGGATGGAGTTTTTAATTAATAAATTTTTTTCTAATTGAGGCTAATTTTTTTTTGAAACAGTTTTACACTCGGAGACATAAGGAATATAATACAATTTTAATTTTTTTGTTAGGACGTGAAGAACATATTTGTTTATTAACATTTTATAAACAAAATATATAAAAAATTATAAAAAATAAAACAATTTTAAAACAAAAAATATATTCAAATAGTGAAATTCAAGACGAAAAAAATCCATATTTTAATTTTAAAATCCGTTAACTAGAACTCGAGAAAAAAATTTGTTAATTTAGCAGTACTAAAAAATTTAATTGTTAATAACTTTTACAAACATTTTTTTTTGGCTTAATATTTTAAGGGATTCTTTTTAACTGTATTAAGAGTAAAAAAAAACTATTTTGGTTCAAAAAGAAAATTTTTTAGTTTTAGGTGATCTGTTTAAAAAATTCTGACCCAACAATATTTAAAATATCAATAATTTTTATGACATTTTGAAACCACTTTTAAAATTTTTAAAAAACTAAATTCAGATACATAATAATTAGTGACCCCAAAAACCCCATCATACCCACTTCTGTGTAAATTGAATTATTTTCTTAATTTTCATCCGCCATTTGGAGTTTTCGAAATCCGACTACAGAATCATAATCAGCGACCTCAAAAACCTATAAATATTTAATGCTGTGGAAATCCATTCATTTTTTAAAAATTTTGTCCGCCATATTGGATCCGCCATTTTGAATTTTGAAAAATTAACATCATATTCGTAATCAGCTACCCTAGAAACCCCAAGATACCGGTTGATGTGAAAATCCAACTTTATGAAAAATCTATGCATTTAGAAACATTTTCTTGGGGTTAAACTCATACACAGGGGTTAACAATATGTAGAAATGAGTATCGCAAGGTTTTTTCTACTATTTGATCAATGCACAAAACAATAAAATTAATTGCAAGAATGTGCCTTAAAAAGAAAAATTAAGTTTTCCAATACCTAAAAGTTTTAAAGTTCTAGAAATATGCCCATGTACACGGAAAAAAAAAGTGTGCTAAATTTACATGAAGCGTTGATGTACTTTTCGCTAAACACTATTTGATGTAAAAATCGTTCTTATAGCAAGAGATTCTTTCATGAAAACATGTATTCATTACATGAATTTACTTGTTGCAAGAATAGAAAAAGATATATACTAATTTTGTTCGATCATTATACCAAAAACGTTCAAAAGACATGAAAGAAATGCTCCTTACATTCAGATGTAAAATTTGCTCGAAATCTATGCGCTTTTCGGATGGATTTCTTGTAAATGGGACTGGGACCCGAGACGCATGCGCATCTAGATGCAGCTATATTATCGCCATAGTGTATATATATATATATATACCGCTATAAATCGCAGCTCGTGTCGTGTGATAATTTCCAGTTCTAAAGTGAATTAGAATTTCTTTTAGAATTTTTTTCCAGTGTGCGAAATATATTCTACTTTTGCTAATTCTGTAAGTAAAATATTTTATTTTGTGTGTTTAGCTGTGCTCTTATTTTGCTTTCTCAAAAAACAAGCATGGTTTGAAGTTTAAGGTTATGTTTCAATATTTATGTTCTTTTACCTATAATTCAATGTCTTTCAAATACACCTATAAAAGTTTACTATCAGTAATGTTGAATGATTAGAGATAAGATAAATTGCTAAATAAACGTAGAAAGTTTTTAAAAATTATAAATTAAAAGAAAGAATGTGTGAAATTTAATTTGTGGGCTTTTTATTTTCGTCTATATATACTCATGTCTATATTTTTGACTTTTGTTAAATAATAACTGAAAGATTGTATCAATTGCATGAAATGTTTGTTAAAATATTATAAAATAACTTGCTTTTCAAAACATTAATCGTAAAATAACGTTCTCTTGTGACTGTAGCATAAATAATTCACAAAATAATTTCAAACACATGTTTTTAATGTAATCTTTATATATAAGCTATGTTCAAGTATAAATAATAACGAAATATAGAAATACTATTGTTTTATTAATAAATGAATGATTTAAGTTAAAAGTACAAGTTATTAAAACTTTTAACCCTCTGTATGTAGTTTTTTCTCTAAAATATAATCTGTGGTAAAGAAATTTAAAAATAGAAAAAAATTAATTCTTTTCTCTTGGTACGTTAAAATTCTTTCGGAACAACTAACAAACTCTTTATTTGAAAACCAGATTGAAGTATAGTTATTAAATTTACTGCAAATATAAAATGTTCAGTAACATTTCATTGATTCAAAGAGACTGTTTTTTTTGTAAAAATGTAAAAATTTATTCACATTTTCATTAAGTTTCTGGTTAAATTGTAAAAATTTATTCACATTTTCATTAAGTTTCTGGTTAAATGTCTACCTATTTGTGAATGTTTATCTATTAATTTATGTTTATTAACGTATGTGACAGGCAGATGGCGAGATTTTAGTGGCGGGTCTATTTTTCAATTCAAAAGATTTAGTTTTCAAACTTCACAGCTTTATGAATATGGAGAAAAGTAGTTTCACTAATCATAATAATTCACTTCAAGTTGAAGGTCAAGATTACCATTACTTCATATCATTAATTATTAGTTTCATGTCATCAAATAATGGTTGTAAAAATATTAGAAAATAATGCTAATTCTATATCTTATTTAAATTATTGCAGAGCCTCAACAAGCAGATTTTAGCTTAAATAAATCTAATTCGTCAGTTGTCAATCTAAATATTTCGGAAGAACAAGTTTCTGGTGGATGCATCTTATTTGATGGTGCACTATCTGTACTTTCCCAAGAAAATTCACTAAGTACACCACAGGACAATAATGCTGAAGGTGAATTAAATTTTGTTTATTAAAATGTTTCAAAGACATAATTATTATTTTACGGTTGAGAAAAATTCAGCTTTAAATTTTTTTAGAATCAGCTAATCAAAATTTAAGAAAGGAAAACTACATTTATCAGATTTTAAACTCAACCTACGAAGGAAGTTTTTTGCTTGCAGCTTATGATTTTGAACAAGATGAGGAGAAGGTAGCTAAATTACTTGAAACAAAAAAATCAACATATTTTTCGAAGAATAAAGTGGCAAAATTAATCATAAATAATGAGTTTTGGCGAACAAATTCTTATAAGTAATTATTTTTTCTTATTGGACATATATATGCACAAAAATATTTTAATGCGATGAATATAAAATAAATTTTCTATTTTTGTTTACAGTATATCAAGTGATCGTTTAGAAGCGCTAGCCGAAGCTACATGTGAATTATTTCCGGATTTTTTAAAGGAAAGTTTTTATACCAGACCGTCAAATACAAAAGCTGCTGGAGGTGCCTTCCAAACCTATTATTCGAAGCAACGGGAAAAGGAGATTGCTATAGGAAGACTAAAAATAAACTTTTTGGAGAGAAGAAAAAGAACTTATCAAGGTAAATATTTATAAAAAATTTTTTTAATTTTTATAAAATCATGGTTTAATTTATAAATATGCTTAAAATTTTAATTTTAGAAAATCAAGAATCTGATGATTTCGTAAAATTAAAACAGCCAGTTCACATTATCGATGAAGACTACAAACAATTATGGTGCAATTCTGCTTTGAAAGAAAGAATATCTTTCTACGAGAAGACGGATGTTCGAACGATTTTCGAAACATTTTGTAATCTTAAACATTCTGTAGGATATTATCTGGTAAGCATATGCATTTATATGGATTTTTAATTTTAATAGTTATTGAGAACTACTTAATATCACACATATTAACTTGTAGGTTCAGGTCGATTTTGAAAAGAACTTCAATATACAGAGCAACATTTTTGCAGAAAATTGGCCTTCAATTGGGGATAAAGTTATTAAAATAGCAAAGAAGAAAAAATCTACAGACGAACTGATCAAACAAATATTTCGGGAAAATGCATTAATTAAAGATGATGGTAAATGTTTTAAAAATAAAAGCCGCATCGCACCTTTCTGTTCTGTCCTCTTTTTTCACAAGTTTTCTTCTGTCTTTCGTTTATGTCACTTTTTTCTAACCTCTTTTGTTTTGGGTACTCTTATTTACTTTGTGCTCTCCTCCTTGACGATCTCTTCTTTCCTCCGATTTTTTTTGTCTTAACTATACTCATCCACTTTCTGTCTTTGGTCCTTTTATGACTTCTCTAATCACTTTTTTATGTTCTCTTCTGACTTTAGTTCTCAATAATTAAGTTTACATTTTCTATTTTCTACTTTTCAGATCATAAAAACACTCTAGCGTTGATTTTATTACCATTAATCTTCAAAAGAATAGCTAAGCAGACTACAAAGTCTAAAACTAAAACTCACTGGAACCCACACAAAGAAGAAATATTAAAATCTTTTATTGTTCACATTAAGGTATGTACTTTACTGCTTTATATCAATATATTTTAATAATAAAATTCTGATAAATAATCTTAAATTTCAGGAAACCGTAAATTTCAAAGATGAACTACAAGCTGTGGAAAATAATCTGCTCGAAATGCACAACGATCACAAAATAAAGTTGCAACCGTATGTAATTATCAATGGTCCATCACTGAATGACGTAAAATCAGCGTTTGTGGTACTTGATAATTATAAATACCAAGTATCTTCTCCTGTCGTAGCAGTTGATATTTGTTTTCAGTGTATGAAAGTGTTTGGAGAAAAATATTCGTCAGTTTGCAATCACGTGTGGCAATTTATAGAAAGAGAAGTATATAAGTTTGAGGTCAAAGATTTGTATACGGCAGTAGCATCTGTGATTGAAAATATGAGAAAAGTTCATTAATTCGCTTGTTAACAATTACGTTTTGACTGTTGTGCGGTACTTACAATTGATATTGGAAATATCCAAGATTGTAATAATTTGTTTCTTAGAAATTACATTTGTCAGCAATTGTTAGAGTTACAACTGTGAATTTGAAGTAAATTGTTTCTATGTGGCAGTAACAACTGCAATTAAAAGCGTGCAAAAACTGTAATAATTATATCCATTGATTAACTGAAACATTGTGTTTTTATTCAAAATGGATTTTCAAAATCAATTGAGAGAAAACATTGGTTCAAAAAAAGAAATATTAGACAGAGAAATGTTAAAATTTACGCTTAAATTGTACAATAATCCATTACTTTCCAGAAAAGCAGTCGGGGAGATAATTGAAACATTTGACGATTTCATATCAGAACTATTTATTCCATTTCTTCAAAGTGAAATAAAGAGCAACTTAGCACATTTACAGCATGAACAATCTTTCAAGCAAGTACAATTTATTTTGGAAAACAATAAGCATACTTTTAATGAATTTTCTACTGAACACCGGAGATTCAAACTTTATAAAGATCAGAGTTTCTATATTGAACCAGAAGAGATTGAAATTGGGGAAGAAGCTATTCATGTCATTAAGGATCCAGAAAACATTGAGGTTAAAATGAAGAAAGTCTACGCAGCTCATGTTCCCTTAAAGAAAACGTTGGAAAATTTTTTTAAAATACCAGGAATGTTTGAAGAAACGAATGAACATTATAAAAAACTGATGGCAGAAAAGGATGTTATATCTAACTTTGTGCAAGGAGATCTCTGGCGCAAAAAATATTGCTTGCAAAATGAAGAAAAAATTGTATTCCCTATTGGACTTTACTTTGATGAATTTCAGACTGGAAATGTGTTGGGGAGCCACGCCCTTGAACAAAAATTTGGAGGAGTTTACATATCAATCTTGTGCTTACCACCTCATTTAATTGCGAAATTGGAAAACATCTTTGTTTTAACCATTTTTTACTCAAAGCATTTGCAAGAATTTGGAAATAAAAATATATTCTCAAGAATTATTCAAGATTTAAATCTAGTATCTGATGAAGGTATTAAAATCAATGTAAATGGAAAGCATTTACAAGTTTATTTTGAATGTGCCCAAATATTTGGAGATAATTTAGGATTAAATTATATATGTGGTTTCCAGAAAAGTTTCATAGCATTACATTATTGCAGAATTTGCAAAGCTTCTTCCAAGCAATGCCAAGAGATGCTTGTCGAAAATAAAAAATTGATTAGAACAATCGAATCATACGAAAAAGATTTGTCAACAGACGATTCAAAATCAACTGGTATCGTTGAAGAGTGTGTTTTTCACATGGTAAACAAATTCAACATCACGGAAAATGTATCTGTTGATTTTGCTCATGATCTGGAGGAAGGGGTCGCTGTTTATTCTCTTAGTGGAGTTCTGGAACAATTAATTAAGGATAAGGAAATAACACTTGATCAAATTAACAACCGAATCGAAACGTTTCCTTATTCAGATGCAGAAAAACCGAATAAGCCTAGACCGTTGTTTTTTTCTCCTGACAAGAACGGCCGATTTAAATTAAAAATTAAGCAATCAGCTTCAGAGATGCTCTGTCTTGTCAGGTATTTAGGTTTGATGATCGGGGATTTGATTTCAGCAAATAATAGACACTGGAAATTGTATATCATACTTAGAAAGTTAGTTAGTGTTCTAACGTCTCCAAGGCTGACTAGGGGTGAAATCGAAAACGTCAGGGAAATTATTCAAAAGCATAATGCACTTTATATTAGTCTTTTTGGAGCACTGAAGCCAAAAATGCATTTTCTGATTCACTATGTAACAGTCATGTTGTTAAATGGTCCAGTGATCCATTATTCCACCTTAAAATTCGAAAGGAAAAATAAATCTTTAAAAGAAGCGACACGTAGTACCGCGAGCAATGTAAACCTGCCACTAACAATTGCCATTAGGCATCAACTGCAACAGTGTTACAACTTGGAGTGTTGTCAAAATGTTAAAAGTGACCTTTCGCTTGGACCGATAAAAAATCGAAATGAATTGCTTGAAACAAGAGATCTAATTACAAACATACCAGAAAACTCAATTGTAACAACATTAAAATCTGTAGATATTTTGGGAAAAAGTTTTTCTGATGGGACGTTCCTAGTAACCAAAATCACGGAGGAAAACCCCAAGTTTGGCGTGATTAAGAAGATTTTTATTTGGAATAATAATACTTACTTTCAAATCAATGAATTTGAAACCCTCTATTTCAATCACTATTACCATTCTTATCAAGTAAAATCAAATCAGAGTAATTGTGATACTATTGTTAATATAAATCTGCTCCCTAAATTACCGCCGTGTTTATATATTAAAAAAAAAAGCGATGAGTTAATCGCAACAAGATTTGATTTGTAAATACGAAACACAAAGTGTTTGCATATTTTTGCATTTTATAGTGTATTATTAATCTATTTGTATCTTTAAAAATTCATAATGTAAGTTTTGTAATATAAATTTATATTTCTGTGAAATAAATTTCGTCTCTAATTTTCTATTTTTTATCAACATATAAAATCTCAAAATTAAAAAGATTGCACAACGAGGGTAGCCACATGTCAGTAAAGTCAGGGAAATGTCCAAAATTGCTACTTTTCGACTTTTCTTCCAAATATTGCAACGAAATACAATAATTTTTAGTAAAAAAATGCAATTTATTTTAACTTTTATAATGCGAAAAATTACCATAAACAAATCTTTCAAAAATTGTTTTTGAATCATTTTTTAAGATAATTAAATTTTTAAAATATATATAATAAAAATCTTTTTAAATAATTGAAATTTTATACAATTCAATTGAAAATAATAAATTTTTTTCAACTATTTTGTCAAAATTTTTGAGAATCAACTTTTAAAGAATTTTCATTGAAAATTTTGCAAATAATTGAATTATCAAAAAAGTTAATGAAAAACGTATACATTTAAAAACGAAAATTTGCTTTTAATTTTTAAAAATTTGTTTAAATATAATATTTTCAGTGTTTTTAATTACTTATTTTCAAAAATTCAAATACATACAAAAAGAATAACATTTTAGAATTATTTTTAACATTTTGAAGAAAAAAATTATTTTCAAAATTTTTAATTATAATTTATTAAAAATTAATTAGTTATTTTAAATTATTCAAATTTTTTTTATGAAATTCAATTATTTTCGAAAAATTACATTAAAATATTTTCAAAACCAAATTTTTAGAATTGTTTAATCTTTAATCAGAATTTTTTAAGATTCAATTATCTTTGAACAAAGTAAATAAAAATTTATGGAAATTTACTTTTTTAGATTTATTATAATTTCGGTGAAATCATGTTCGTATTGATAATTAAAATTCTTCAAAAATTAAATTATTTTTATTTACATTTTTCAAAAATTCAATTATTTTTAAAAGATTAATCAAATTTCAATTGTTTGGAAATTTTTCAATTGTAATATAATTAAAAAGTTATTATCTTTCAAAAATTATTTTACAATATTGACATTTACAATTATTAAAAGATATTGAGTTTTTGTACTTAAATAATTGAATTTTAAAAGAAACTTACATGAAGAAAATTATTTAAAATAAAGATAAAGTTTAGTTAAAAATTGTAGAAAATAATTGAATGTAAGTAGGGCTATAATTGTGATTTTTATGAATTTTACTTATTTTCCGTAAACATTCATATTTTTCCTATAAAAAGAATTTGTTTAGGGAAATTGATAAACTGAAACTTGTGACCACCCTGACAAGTCTAAATTTAGACCCTCTTTTAATACTATTATTACTTTTTTTATGAATATTGTTTCGTCCTCTCTTTTTGGAAGTGGTTTTTGAATTTTTATAAAGTTAACCTTCTTTTAATTCCTATAATTCTTCCTATAATTTCATTGAACTGGCTAAAAAACAAATATTATTTATACATTCAACAGATCAATAAAAAATAACTATCTATAAAAGAAAAAATATTTTTAATTATATTTGAAAAATAAAAAAATTGATTAAATATATAACGTTTCCTTAATTTAAATTTAATAAATCATTGGTTTTGTTATTTATGTAGAAAATATATGTGATGAATTAATAATTATAATTGAAAACATTATAACAAATTTTTAAAAAACGCAATGTTCAAATTAAAACTATTTAAATATAAAATATCTTATCAAATTTAATACAATGACGGTAATAAAAAAATTTAATGACTTGAAAATTAATAAATAGATATTCACTTAGAGGTTTATAATTTTGAAATAAATAATACTAATAATAATATAATTTTTATGTTTCTTAATATGATTTATATATATATATATGTATAACTGGGTACAACTTTCGCGCATGCGCACTTTATTAGTATCTCATTTGCAAGAGGTCCATCCGAAAAGCGCATGGATTTCGAGCAAATTTCATATTGAGTGGTGGGGAGCATTTATAGCATAGTTTTAAGGAAATCGTGGTATATGTTCTAACCTTTTTTCACATTAAAGTAAGTGATACTAGAAGCGCATGAATTTGTCCTTTAAAAGCACGTATCACATGATGCAATTTTCGGACGACATATGCTTGTGTGATATTAGCACACTTTTTTTTTCCGTGTATATGTCACAAAAGCTTTGTGCACCAATCACACAAAACTGCCTGGACCGATGAGAATGAAGTTTTTGCCGAACCTAAAGTATTCATCCAAGGAATTTTTATAAATTTACAGATTTAAAAAATATTAATTAGAACGGGAGATATTCCATTTTTTCGAAAAATTAAAAAAATTGAAAATTTCTATATTTTACATTTTTTATGGATTGTTTTTAAACTTTCTATAGTTGAATATTACATGTTATTTAGTCACATTTTAGCATAATTTTTCAAAAATGCTATCTTATAACGAAGATGTAAATATAAAAATGTTTTGAATATCAAAAAATCGAAAAAATTACAATTGATACCAATTGTTATGAAGCTTAATTCAGTAGTATTTGTGGGCTCTCTGATTTAACTTTTATAGAGGTATTTTGAGCATTGTGAATACAAAAGTTAAACACGGTGTCTATTTTGGTTTAAAACAATTTCCGGCTTTTTCGAAATTATTCCTGGTTTATTCGACGGGTTTTTGTTTTCACTAATACATTTAACAAAGTGTCTACCAACCAGGAAAGACGGAAAATAACAGGGAATTTTATGTAACCGGGAAAAACTGGATCTACTCGCTATACAATTAGTTAAAATTAGACTCTACTATAACTCAAAAAACTGGAGGAAATTTTGGAAATTTTGGACATTATATTAATTAAAGTAATACAAATTAAGAAATATTGTTTTCTGCATTTGAATTAGTTAAAAATAAATAATTTGATAATAAAAAGTCGGCTACTGATTCAAATAGTAATATTTTCCTAATGAAATAGTTAATGGTAACTAATTATTATTTTTTCCGGTCAGATTAAATTCCCGGCTATTTCCCGGTTTTCTAGGTTGGTTGACACACTGTTAAATGCATTATTAGAAACTAAAACCCGTCGAAGACGGGTATGATAGCTAGTCTTCTATAAGAAAAAGTGAAAATTGATTTTTTCGATCCTAAGGCTTAACATTGCCCAACAATATTAGCAATATTTCCATGCAATACTTACACAATATTGAGCTCAAATGTTATGCTATTTGGGTGTTTAATTTTATTTATAACTAAATAAGATGTTATTTAAAAAAATACTTTTTTCGGTTGCAGAGGTTTATTCGGAGGCATTTTAATAATAGCAGCAACAGTACTAAGCCTGATAATGTTCTTTGTATTGAAAGATTCTCAACCAAAAATTGCAATTCAGCAAGTCACTGCCTTAGAGATTGCAATTCAAATTTCAGGTGAGATATTGACAAATCAATTACAGAAGAATGAACATCAATGATCCATAATAAATGTTAAATTGCAGTGTAGCAATTAGTAATTTAATTTAATTAGTAATCAACTAGTAGTTTTTTATTACCAATAATTAGTAATTTTTGACTAAAAACTTATGTGCAAATGAATATTAAATCATTTAATTAACGAACGAAATTAACTTTTACCTCCTAAAATATTTTTCAAAAATCTTTTTGATACTACAGCAACATCACTGTAATATTACCATGTAATATTGTAGTATGTAGTTTAATATTGTATGTAGTAGTTTAACATTGTAGTAATGTCATTGTAATGTTACATTATAATGTTACTAACACTAGATGTAACATTACAGTAGTGTTGTTATATAGGAAACGGTCGGATAGTAAATCTTACCTTTTTGTGTTTTGTTAGTTGAAAAATTCACTATATTTTTAATCTATAATTCTGTAATGAGTATGATACACAACTCTCCTCTCACAAGTAAACCTACCCAAGTGCCACACGCCGATCTTAATGAAACCTGTCACTATTTTTAAAGCATAGAAAAACATGAGATTTGCAATTTATTAAAGGTTCCAATAAAGGTTTTGAAGGTCAGAAACCACCCTTCGAATATAAAAATTCACCCTTTTTCAGATTTTTGTCAAAATGCAAAATTAAGTTGATTAAATTGTTCAAAAACCACTACTTGGGAGTTTTTGGAATAACTAATTACAAAAATGATGTCAGTTATTCAAAATCCAAGATGGCGGATAAAACAGTAGCGTAATTAAAGAGCTTGGGGCCCCGATGAAAAGTAGATTTTAAAGGCCCTTCGGCACCTAACACGACTTTTGTTACTGAAAAAGAAAAAAAAAAGAATTCATTTGTCTCACTTTTGAGGTCCCTTAAACCCCCGGTGGCCCCAACGAATCATATCGGCCACATCCCCTATTGTTACGCCACTGGGCTTCAATATGGTGGATCAAAATTCGATGCACCATGCACATTTAATAATAGCAGCAACCGCTTTTTTACCATCCATATTTAAATAGTTTTAAAAACCTAGGTGTGAAAAATTGGTTATGAATCAAAGATTGCAACTTTAAGATATTGTTTCTCAAATGTAAGTTAATCTAAAAATCATGAAGCATGACTATATTGGAGAATTGTTTCAGAAAGTTTTTCCATGGTCTGAATGCGTAAACATCCAGAGGTTGAATCATTTTAGTGGTACCAGCAGGAATGGTCTTAACTGCAATAATCTTGCCATGCTTTCCAATAGAGTTAAAGTTTTTTTCTGTTTGTCCTGTCCACGAATCAAGGCATAGGAGATAACGTTCGCCAGGACATGTATTCGGTAGAAAAATGTCTTGAAACCATTGGGCTGCAAGTCTCAAAATTTATTTACAGCTTCAGACAAATGAATCCATAACTTCAAAATAAAGCATGGCATTGTTTCCAGGAAAATAAATAAGTTTGTTACTCAAACTCAAATTAAAAATAAAGATATTTTAAAAAAGCAAGCAGATGAATTCGTAGAAAGTGTAAAAAAACAATTTCAGAGATTGGACCAGATAATGTTTTTAACACTGATCAATCGGGATTTAATCTTGAAATGCATACAGGACGCACACTTGCATTTATAGGAACTTTGAAAGTTGAATCGCTAGCACAAAGTATTAATTCATTAACCGACAGTTATACTATACAGCCGATTATAACTGCAAGTGGGCTATTAACATCTCCTTTACTTATTGTAATGGAAGAAAAAGGCGGATGCTTTGGACGTATTGTTGAAAAAGCCATTTACAAAGCTGATAATATTGTAACATTTGCATCGCAGTCCGGAAAATTAAGTTCTAACCTTGCAGCCCAATGGTTTGAAGACATTTTTCTACCGAATACATGTCCTGTCGAACGTTATCTCCTATGCCTTGATTCGTGGACAGGACAAACAGAAAATAACTTTAACTCAATTGAACAGCATGGCAAGATTATTACAGTTAAGAACATTCCTGCTGGTACCACTGGAATGATTTAACCTCTGGATGTTTACGCGTTCAGACAATGGCAATTCTTTCTGAAACAATTCTTTGATATATTCATGCTTCATGATTTTAAGATTAACTTACATTTGAGAAACAATATCTTAAAGTTGCAATCTTTCACTCATAACCAATTTTCCTCACCTAGGTTTGTAAACCTATGTAAATATGCAGGGTATAAAATCGGTTATACATCAGAAAAACCACCACGCTGCGACACGCCAGTGTCATAATGCTTTCAAATTCATAAAGTTTTATGCCAGTTTTGAAATGTTGCTGCTATTATTAAATGTGCATCTGCATAGTGCACAACATCCATGTGTATGGATCACTTTTTTTATATCGAATTTCAGAGTAAACCTAACGTTTGCTACAACTACAGTAATGATTCTTGAAGAGTTATATAATATCTACATGCTTTGATAATAAATCAAACTTCCCTGCTTTTTGAAATAGAATTAAAGGTCCTGCTTTATTATCTTTTTTTATTATCTTTATTGGTTTAGCGTTTGATTTAACAGGTTTATAACCTTCGTTCGTTTTCAATGCTACAAAAAATATATTTAAAAATAAAAAAAATATAAAAATACAAAAAAAATTTTAAAAACTATTTTTAAAAAAATGGGGTCAAAATTGTTCTGCAACCTTCTCGTGGTTGATCCTGGTAACTAAAAATATTTAGGCTAATTACTGACAAAAAAAATTGTATGATACAACAGTCAGCTTTAATTCATTATTTATTTTTCAAAAAGCACAATAGATTCGTAAACGGCGCCCCAAAATGACCCGAGTAGCAATTTTTTAGATTGCAGCTCAACTTTCTGAACATCCGTCTACCATATTCAGTCCGCCATTTTTAATTTTAAAATATTAACATCTAATTCGAAATCAACGACCTCAAAACCCCCGAGTAGTTATTTTCGAGAATGTAGCTAAACATTTTCGAATTTTGATCCACCATATTGGATATGATTCGTTGGGACCACCAGGGGTTTAAAGGACCTCAAAAGTGGGACAGATGAATTCTTTTTTTTTCTTTTTCAGTAACAAAAGTCGTGTTAGGTGCCGAAGAGCCCCCAAAATCTACTTTTCATCGGAGCCCAAAGCTCCCTAGTTACGCTACTGTTCTATCCGCCATCTTGGATTTTAAATAACTGACATCATTTTTGTAATTAGTTATTCCAAAAACTCCCAAGTAGTGGTTTTTGAACATTTTAATCAACTTAATTTTGCATTTTGACACAAATCTCAAAAAGGGTGAATTTTTATATTCGAGGGGTGGTTTCTGACCTTCAAAACCTTTATGGGAACCTTTAACAAATTGCAAATCTTATGTTTTTCTATGCTTTAGAAATAGTGACAGGTTTCATTAAGATCGGCGTGTCGCACTTGGGTAGGTTTACTTGTCAGTGTGTTGAACCACATCAATTTTTTGAGAAACATTTAACCCTTAAGTGCACACTCTTTAAACCATCCTTAAACCACGCACATGCGTGTCTGATATTCACGAACTGAGTAAGTGAGTTCTGCAAGCTGGAATTTGAAATCATCGTTCAGAAAAATTATCTTAAGTAGAGTATAAGTGTCAAACACCCAGGGTGCATTTAATGGGTTAGAATAAACACGTTCCTTAATTTAATAGTATATGTCGTGGGCTCGTATCCCACCATGCTACCGTTTTTTTCTGAGTTCTTTGATAATTTTGAAATTATTAATTAATTTCGAAAATATTTTTCAAATTAAACAGGTTTCTGTATTAGGGCAGCTGTGCTGTCGATACATTGAAGCCCATGAGCTTATCGAGATTTATTTAAGATATTTAATTTATTTGTGTAGATTGATTCGGGAAAATTGTTAACTTCTTTCAAATTTAATATTTAATCACCGAATGATAAATTCACTTCCTTCAATTATAATTGCCTATGAATTGTAAAATTAGGCTTACCATCTTTAAGAACCTTCCTACGTTATCATTAAATAATGTAGGAAGGGATAGTATATTTCAAGGAACTCGGAGAGTCTCGGGGTGCATGTAGCTCAGTGGTCAGAGCAGTCTACCGTCAATAGAAAGGTCGTGGGCTCGTATCCCACCATGCTACCGTTTTTTCTAAGTTCTTTGATAATTTTGAAATTATTAATTAATTTCGAAAATATTTTTCAAATTAAGCAGGTTTCTGTATTAGGGCAGCTGTGCTGTCGATACATTGAAGCCCATGAGCTTATCGAGATTTATTTAAGATATTTAATTTATTTGTGTAGATTGATTCGGGGAAATTGTTAACTTCTTTCAAATTTAATATTTAATCACCGAATGATAAATTCACTTCCTTCAATTAATAGTATATTCTTTTTCTTCTTCTTTACTACAGAGAAGCTGTAGTTAACTAATTTGTGGCTTCGTATATACAGGCCAATTCAAAACACATTTAATAGTATATTAAGCAACAAGAAGATAAAGGCAGCCATTTCTTTACGGTGATTTTTGTGACACGAGTGGGGGTCGAGGGCGCCCCGAGACCTCCACTCGTGTTACAAAAATCACCGTAAAGAAATTAGCTGATTCTCGTGTTCGTTACGATATTTTTTATTCCTAATGCACAAAAATGGCGATTTCAGATAGCAGACGACAGGGAGTAAAAGTCATTCACTTATTCGATTTGTATGAAAATGGCGGCCGTTTTCATACGGTCGAAGAAATGAATGACTTTCCTCCCTGTCGTCTGCTTTCACAAAGCGCCATTCTTGTGCATGTGGGATAAAAATAAAGTTTGTTAGTTTTAATAAAGTTTGATCACAAAAATTTAAGATGAGTTCCTTTTCATTCTCCATACCAATTAATTGTAAGAAATTTAATTTATGCAAAGTCTATTAAAAAAATATACAGCCTAACTCTCTATAAGGATAATAAATTTAATAATTTAAAAAAAGTACAATATGTATAAAAAAAACCTAATATGTATAATAAACCAGTTAATATAACAGGTGCTCTAGCTGCTATTGGCGCAGCGCTCAAGTTACAAAATCTCGAGCACAAGAACACGAAGCCCCCGAGACTCGACGCTACTTTATTAGCAGCAGCCCAAGCGGGAGTATATCTTCACAGCTTCTTTGGTGCTGTTGGTGGGATCTTAACACGAGGACCTATTTGGGGACTTCTGCTAGGCTTGGACTTTCTAGCTCTATTACAAAGTACCATGCAAACTTTACTCATTAAGGTAAAACTTGCTTGACGGGTCAAGATATAGATAAAAAATTGTTAAAAAAACTTCTTATCATTTGATAGATAAAGGAAAAAGAATTCTCACACTTTATCCATAACTTGCAGATCGCTTGGAGGCGAAGGTCTATGACAAAAGAGAAACCCGGTAAGGAGCTCATAACGTTCTTGATTGTCGTTAACGTGGCACTGTGGACGGTCAACACATTCGAAAAATCCAGAGCCGGTGTTCGACCGGATCATTTAAGATTTTTTGGAGTTTGGGCCTGGACAATAATCATTCATGTCTCAATGCCTCTAGCTATATTTTATCGATTTCATTCTGCTATTTGTCTCTTTGAAGTTTGGAAAAGTTGCTACAAATATCGACCTCTTGGTGATCATTGCAGAAGCTTTTCTCATCGAAATTGTATTGATCAGTAATAATAAGTAAAACTAATAATAAGTCAAATAATACGATATTATTTTTAAATAGCTCCACATTTTTTTATTATATTTGTACATCCGCATGAAAAGGGACCATTTTGTCAATATTTAGAAAAAAACTAGTTTAAAGTTCAAATCTTCCATTAGTTCCCATATTAATTAAAAATTATACAAAGGATTATTAGTTATTTTACTTACAACAAACTTATCGTAAACGCATAATTTAGCGTTCATTACTTTGTAGTTTGGATTTTAAAAATAAAAGAAATTCGAAAATCTGGATCACTATTCGAAAATAACAATTATCTCCTAAAATACAATCAGCAAATTTTCAACTCGAAATTTTGATATTACTGGATTATTTATTTCACCTTTATTTATTTTGATGTTGCTTAACCTATTAATGCCCATGGGCACAGGAACGCAGATATAAAAGAAAGTAACAAATGGGATCCTAGCATGTGGTATAAATAACACATGACCACAACATTTTTTTAAAGGAAGTATTGACCGGACCATGGTTTTTTTATATTTTTTGGGTCGCTGAATTCGAATCCGAACTCAGTTTTTTGCCACCACGTCAAGTTTCTTCAAATTGGCGTATCTAATATGGCTGTCGAATTTTTTAAAAATTTGTCATATTTACTTGAAATTTGTTACTCGAGGATTTTTGCGGTCACTGAATACGTATTGCACCTTAGTTTTTCAAAATTCAAAATGGTTCAATTGTCAAAAAATATCGTTAAATCTCGTATCGTTTTAACAGATTCACTTTTATGCGATCGATACCAAGAATATTTAATTTATTATATTAAGCAAATAACAGTAACAGAGGGTTTTAATTAATTGGGACTAGTAATATTCTTTAGGTAGTTTTTTTTATTATTTTTATGTAAAAATTAAGATTTTATTATAAAATTTTTTTGGATTTCTGTATTAATTAAAAATAATATAGTATTAAAAATATGTACTTCAATGAAAATTTTCATCCAAATAACCGTTAAAAACCATAATATTTTTCATTAATTTAATAAAATAAAAGAAAGGTTTTTCAAAAAATAATATTACAACATCTCTAGTAATAATATTAATTTAAATTCATCACTCGGCGATATTTAATAATAGTGATTTTTGTTTGTTTGACCGTATTAAATATTCATTTGTAAGATAATGAAAAGGCCTATTTTACGGTTTGTTTAGATGATATTTATTATTTTGAAATCCCAACTAGTTTTGAACCATATATGGTTCCTCATTAGAGGATGAATAATTTTCACAAATACATTATCCAAAATCAAGACAAAGCACAAAAGATTTTAAAAAGGATTAAATTATAAAATGATCTGAAATAGAAAACTAAAAATTGTTTCAAATCTAATTGTAATGTGTATTTTAATGTTATATTTTAATTTGTGAAAAAGAGAAAGTGAAAAAGTTTCTTACCTTTCAGAAAAAAATATAAGCATGCAACAAAAAAATTTTCAAAAAATTTTTTGCTATTATTTTCTATATTGATTTTTTTTAAAATTAATTAATTTTAAAGATGTTGTAGAAGCACATTTTTTTATATAAATGTGCCTCTATGATTAGAGAGTTTTGACAGAGAGGTTGGGTTACCAGTTATACCTGGACCCAACTACATAACCAAAACTCTCTATCATAGAGGCACATTTCTATAAAAAAATGTGCTTCTACAAAATCTTTAAAATTAATTAATTTTTTAAAAAATCAATATGGAAAATAATAGCAAAAAATTTTTTGTTGCATGCTTATATTTTTTTCTAAAGGGTAAGAAACTTTTTTACTTTCTCTTTTTCACAAATTAAAATATAACCTTAAAATACCTACACATTACAATTAGATTTGAAACAATTTTTAATTTTCTATTTTAGATCATTTTATAATTTAATCCTTTTTGAAATCTTTTGTGCTTTGCCTTGATTTTGGATAATGTATTTGTGAAAATTATTCATCCCCTGATGAGGAACCATATATGGTTCGAAACTAGTTGGGATTTCAAAATAATAAATATCATCTAAACAAACCGTAAAATAGGCCTTTTCATTATCTTACAAATGGATATTTAATAATGTTGATGATTTCTTCGATCAATCGGAGTCAATTTAATAAGTAAATAATTAATAAAAAGAAAAACTATTTACGTATCAACGCCATAGCCGTCTTCTTCCAAAACTGTAAAAGAATAAGTAAGATTTGGATAATAATTTGTCGGTTATTAAAAACGTTTATTTTATATAATTTATAAATTCAAATTTTTTTTAATTTACAAAAATATTACTGTAAATTAAACTCTAAACAACAAATATCAACGCAATATATATTATTTAACTTCTTATATAAAATTGTTATCGTTTAACAATTTTGATTTAATTACTTAAAATTAGATTTATTTTCGGTGTCAAAGAACACTGCACCCAAGAATTCAAACACATTAATTGGGTAATTGATATATTACTCAATCTGTTCCTGTGCTTGCGAATCATCAAGAAACTTCTGGAGAACAATCTTTCGGATGGAACTGACGTGGCTGGTACAGTCCTTTTTTTAATCCATTAACCTTAGTTTTGACAATTTCTTCATTTTAAACAGGAATCTATTATTATTAATATTATTGTTTTATTATTATTTTTGTAAAACAAAAGTAGATATATATTTTTATTTAAAAAATTATTTTTGTAATTATATTCAGAATATATTTTTATTGAATCAAAATTATTATGTTCAATTCAAAAATAATTTTTGGTTGACGTAAAGCTAAGATAATTATGTTTGTTTCAGATATATTGTTTTCTCAGTGTAGAAATATCTCTAAATTTTATTTATTTTTAGTGTTTATTTGTATATGCAATTTGAATGAGTTGAGACAAATAATATTTGAAAATTTTCTGTTGTCATTTGATTAATTTGGGACTGGATGTGATCAAGTAAAACACTTTATTTATGAGAAATACTGTCGTTTATTACAGACGATATTAATAGATAAAATTCACGATCAAAGAGACGCGAACAAAGAGAGTGAGGGAATGCGCACGCACACGGAAGTGACACAGACTCGTAACCGCCAGAGTCAATCAAGCACTTACCGCGAAATTACAAATTCAACACTCCCTCCCGAGATTGACTTGTCGTATCATAACACTGGGTAACAAAAAAATGATCATGTCGTGTTTATTTCAAAATTGTTGTGTTTATTGAAAGTTTGGGTGTCAATGAACAAGAAAATACAAAAAAAAATTTTTAATTTATTTATCCCCCTAAAAAGAGGGGGATGAATTATTAAAAAACAGTGATTTTTGCATTTTTTGAAGTCTTGTAAAAAGAAAATGGGAAGACATAAAAAGCTCTAATATGGCTTAAGAGAAAGCTCAAACCTTTATCTTTAAGAACCAAAACTGAAAAGTGATGTAAAAATTGCAGGGAACCTGTATTTACCGACTACCCCCCCTAATGTATCATACATTCTGGTAAAAATGATTGGGAATCTAAGCATATCAATTTTTCATAATCGGATTGGCTTCAAATTTGTTACTCGGGGGTTTTTGGGGTCGCTGATTACGAATCCGAAGTCAGATTTCAAAAATTCAAAATGGCGGGTTCAACATAGCGGATAAAATGTTAAAAATCGTTCGGATTCGCTCGAGGCTTGGTTGAATCCACCATGTTAAAGCCTCTATTTTGAAATTTTGAAGTCTGACTTCGGATTTGTAATCAGCGACCCCAAAAACCCCTGAGTAACAATTTTGAAGCCAATCCGATTATGAAAAATTGATATGCTTAGATTCCCAGTCATGTTTACCAGAATGTATGATACATTAAGGGGGTACTCGGTAAATACAGGTCCCCTGCATTTTTTACATTACTTTTCAGTTTTGCTTCTTAAAAATAAAGGTTTGAGCTTTCTTTTAAGCCATATTAGAGCTTTTTATGTCTTCCCATTTATTTTTTACAGGACTTCAAAAAATGCAAAAAACACTGTTTTTAATAATTCATCCCCCCTTTTTAGGGGTCTGAATAAATTAAATTTTTTTTTGTATTTTCTTGTTCATTGACACCCAAACTTTCAATAAACACAAAAATTTTGAAATAAACACGACATGATCATTTTTTTGTTACCCAGTATAGAAAAATGCTTAAAAACTAAGAACCTAAATATAAGTATATAAGAAACTAATTCAAACGGTACAAAAATATAAAATAACTATTTAATTTTATAATGAGATCATTCTTCGGAATAGATGCATGGCACCATCTTTTAATTCAGCAGGATATTCGAGTCATCCTTCAGTCGGAGAAGGGGAGTCATAATTAGTCGTCAACACCTTCACCTATAATCCAAAATAACATAAATTATTGTAAACAGACATAAAATATTAAAAATTAATTAAAAAACTGTCACATGATAAAACAATTCGTTAATTCAGAAACTGTCGTAGTTAAGAATTTTGTCTCGTAATTGGGAATGTACTTTGAAGCTAAGAGGTTTCGTCATTATATCGGCTAATTGTTTCTTAGTCGAAACCCATTCGATAATCACACGATCGTATTTAACACATTCTTTTACATTGTCTTGATGAACATCTGTCATATGTCTTAACTTGTTTCCACCGTTAGTTTTAGCCCAAATCGTCGCAGCTTTGTTTTCGCATTTTAAAGTCGCAGGGAGAAAACTTTTATCGGAAATTCTCATAAGTGATTTATTAATCGCGATGAATTCTTGACAAGCTTGACTCATAGCTACATATTCGGCTTCACAAGTCGAAAGAGCAACATAGGTCTGTTTATTTGCTCGCCAAGCAATCGTGTCACCAAACAGTCGTATTAGGAAACCACACGTCGAGATTGAGGATTTGCAATCAGCAAAACTCGCGTCTGAATAGGCTAATAAATCGTTTCGTCTACCAATAAATTTAAGTCCTAAATCTTTTGTCGCATTTAAGTACTGAAAAACTCTTTTGACCATGTTCCACTCGTTTTCTGTCGGATTAATTTGATGTCTACTCAAGACATTTACCGCGTAAGCTATATCAGGTCGAGTTGCTCCAGATAGATATAAAAGACTCAATCATTTCTCTGTATGGAATGTCAAGAACTTTTTCGCAGGTTCCGTAACTGTCGTCTTGTTCTCGTTCCCTGCGTTTACAATTAGCTACTTGTCGTGTTATCATTAGTGTGTTTTTCGGAAATTCATTCTCAAACCCAAATTTCGTTAAAATTTTCTCAATGTATTTTTCTTGAGTAAAGTTCATAATCGTCATTGGTCA